ATCTGTTTCAGTATCTCCGCTGATAATTGATGTTTACCAACATCTATCACTTTAAACTGAATCCTGCCAAGCCTATTTTTATTTAAAATCAAGTCACACCTATCTGAATTATTTCCCTGTCTCACTTCTGAAACAGGAATGGAGTATGCCAAACATTCTGCAGCAGATCTTTCTGCTCTGGAATTTAATATTATTGCAACAATTCTTCCCAGCATTTGCACACATATAGATAAAGAGCTTACCAAAAGCCAGAATGCTGTGCAATATGTAGCTTTGTTGTATCATTTTATGGGAAAGAAAATGTCATGGATTAAGAAAACATGTATAATGTCAGCACCCAGAATGTGTTCAAGAAACACCAATGACAACAGCACTTCTTTTAAGAGAAACGGAGGCAGATGGTGTTTGCATCGAAAGAATTCATTTTTCCAAAAGACCAAAAAATCTTCTGAAAAGGCATGTCATCAAAAACAAAGACTTTTCCAGAATGTAAGATTATACTTTCCCCATAATACACTTGGTAATAAAAGAGAAATACAGAATGCACAGAACTGTTGCTTAATAGAAGATTACATATGAACTATTCCATAATGCACCAGCAAGTTCAATTATATGAGTTATAATTTCTTAAGAACACAGGCTATAGTTTTGCTAATTATTTTACCATTATCCCTTTTACAAGCTTCCATTTTTAGAATGATCCAAACACTATCCAGATATTAGATTAGCATGGTAACACTTCTATTATTAAGGGGGGTTAAGTTTCGCACTTAAAGCTGGAATTCAAGCTCTTTGTTTTGTAACGCAACACTGTGTACCTTCCCTGAGCTTAGAGCACAGAATCTGAGAGTACATCATAAATTTTCTGGAGATTTTTCAGCGAAATCTGTTCCTCAGTTTGTGAACTAAAATTAATTTAAAATGGGCCCTTCAAGAATTTTCTCTCCATTGTGTGATCTGACTCTGTAGCCCTTTTGCTATCAAATGGCTGGTTTGTTATTCACATTTTCCATATAATTAAGACTTATCTACCAACTTTGAATGTACATTTGAGGAACTTAAATTTACTTAATTACAGTCTATTAACTGTCTTTTCCTACCTTTCCCAATATAGTCACAATCTTCCCTAACTCAAAATGGCTACTATTTCCCATAACTTAGAATAGAACCAGAAATATCCCCGTCCTCAGTAAATTTCTTCACTGTGTGAATTAAGCCAATTATTAAAAATATATATATATTATATATATGGAAAAACAGGAATTCTACCATGTGAAGCCATAAGGACCCCTCCTAGATCTTCCTCTATGTGGATCACCATTAAAGTAGGAATCAACAAACTCTTTGGGAGTGGGTTAAGCAACTATTTACTAAACATCAGAAAAGTGCTAGAAATCAGGACTCCTAGGTTCTTCTCCCAGTTCTAGGATGGAGCATGTAGTCAAGCACAAATATTTGTCAGATTCTATAAGAGAGGCAGTGTGGCTGAGTAGATAAGACTGGTCTATGCTACATTACATATCTGGGTTCCATTTCCAGCTCTGAATACCATGTTACGTTACCATGTTATGAGACACCTCTCAACTATACTCTAATGCCCACACAGCACATTTCCACTGACATTGTCAAACTTCCTCATACTCACAAAGAACATCACTCTGCTTCTATTTGATAAGAATACATACTATACATTAATCTCCTCAGAGCAAAACACAAAACCTTAATTAAAATGTCAAGCATCTTCCATGAGCACAAAACATACTTCACTCTTGGTACTTGTCAACCCAGAATAATTTGCAATTAAGGTTTTGCATTATCCCCAATTTAATTCCTTTTAAACAAAACTTTTGTTTATGGAATTAGTCCACATAACCTAGACAACATTAAAAGTGGCTAACACGCAGTCAACCTACATTTCTTTACAGTGGACTGCACTTCCACTTACATCCTCCAGACTGGAACATGCAGTGTCCTCAAAGGACATTGCTAATGGTATTTCAAATATCAGCCAGTAAATAGCCTTTAGTGTCATGGAAATTTACCAGCCCAGATAACAAAATCTTCTCACCAACTCTGACAATAACAATAATTAAAACACTAATATTATTGTACTTTTCATCAAGTAAGTGGGCAAACAGAATGTGGCATGGACTGAAGAATGCTCCAGAGCAATGCTTTTTCGATTCTCCACAATAAAAGCTAAGGCACTACAAGTACAACCATGTCTAATAACCAGTTTATGATTTACCTAAATTACAACAAACACTAGTTGAGTTATGTCCACATAGAAGGGTCCCCCGCACGCACACACACAATAACCAAGTGCCATTCAGGTTTCTACATTCATATATAAAAACATAATTAGGAGACACAGTATTGGCACATTCTGGGAAACTTGGATAAGCAATCCCATAGATTCTTAGCAAGGACAGAGTGCACAGAGGTTATTTTATCTTAGGTACCTACTTATTTACTGATTTCTTTTATTTCAGAACTATTCATAAAAATATCTGTCATAATTTCAGTACCTCTATTTAGTGAGTGGCGCTAATCTCTCCTTTAGTAGGAATGCCATTTTACTCATGGTTCCTGGTTTGGTCCCCAGGACTTCCCATCTGATCATATGATGTGAGACCAAAACTCCTTTTCCCAAAAGAAAGCACTGAACATGTTGTTGTGCCTCCTATTTTTAAAATAACCTCAAATATGTCTAAAGCCCAAAATCAATTACTATGAAGTGGGTGCGTAACTGGCTAAAAAATCATAGCAAAAAAGTAGCTTAAATGGCTTCCTGTCAAAATGAGAGGATCTAGCAGGGTATCAGAGGGATCTGTCTAGGGCCCAGTACTATTAAATATTTTTATTAATTACTTGGAAAACAGGAGGGAGAGTGTTCTTATAAAATTTGCAAATGACACCAAGCTGGGAGGGGTTGCAATCAGTTTGGAGGACAAAAATAAAATTCAAAATGACCTGGATAATTTAGAGAACTGGTCTGAAACCAACAATATGAAATTCAATAAAGACAATGCAAAGTACTACTGTTATGAAGGTAAAATTCAAATGCACAAATACAAAATGGGAAATAACTAGTTAGGAACTAGTACTGCAGAAAAGGATCTGAGGATTATAGAACTCACCCATCAGAAATAACCCCTCCTTATAATGACTGTCATGGTTTTTATGCTGTAAACAGATTACAGTATCATTTGGAGATGAGGGCTAACATATACCCATAGTGATCATTTGTTCCAAAGGCTTCCAAAAGCAATGCGGCTATGAGTCTCTTAATTTTCAGAGAAGCCAAGATACCATCCAATACATACCATGGACAAGGTGGGATTATTACGTACCACGTGTACTAAGGTTATATTCTAATAAAATTAGAAAAGGGAAAAGTAACTCACCACTACTGTGACAGCCCTTTCCCCAGTTCTGGTGAAAAATGGTGTTGTGAATGGGTCCCAAATCCTGCTTTTTCAAAGACCTCTAAGAAGAGATGGCAATTCTCTAACTGGAAGGCTAATTCTGGAGGAAGGAGGAATCTTCTGAAGGAAGAGGGAAATAACCTAAAGTGAGAAAAGCACAGCCTGTGAAGAAATATGGAGCTAATGCCTCAGTCCTTCCAGTTTCCCCAACAGGAAGTCAGAAGATAACTATGGGGCTAAAGGTGTGGGACTGGAGAAATGGATAATAGCCCACTTTCTCCTCCACATCAAAAGGAAGTACTTTGACACACCTATACAACACAAGACTCGCTAAGGCTATGGCTACACTACAAGGCTTTTAGGAACATGGCTGTGCAACTACAGGCATGCAGTGTAGCTACTATTTGTCGACTGGAGAGAGCTCTCCTGCCAATAAAAAACTTCCACCCCCTCAGAAGCGGCAGCAGCTTTCTTCACAGCTGTTCACACTGGCACTTTTTGTCGGGGGGGGGGGGCTGTTTTTTTTAAACACTCCTGAAAGACAAAAGTGTTACGGACGAAGTGCCAGTGTAGACAAAGACTAAGAATAATCCTGAACAGTCTTCTTTGCACCTCCTCTAGCACCCTCCTCTCACCCCCTCTGTTCCGCTAATTATCCCTGCCGAGGTGCAGGTATGAGCCCTTATCCTACATGCTTCCACGGGGGATAAACTCGGTGTACCGTAGCTTGGCAGGAGGGCGAGGGAACCAAGGGGCGAGCACCTCGATGGGGACTTTGGCGATCTCTCGGGACTTTTCACAGGCTGCACATTGGGGTCCCTGGTCCAAGTGTCCCGAGGCCGCTGGGGCCCTGCCGGCCGGGCTGTCCGGAGTCCGGCGGCGCCGGCTGGGGCGTTGGCTCACACTAGGGGCAGCTCCCCCGTTCTGGGCGCTGACACAGGTGACTCCCGCTACCCCGGCCACGCACAGTCCCCAGCCCGGCCCGCCCCCGACCCTGCCCCAGGCTCGGCCAGCCCCCGAGGTCCGACCAGCCACCCCTCAGGGCCCAGGGCCCGCGCTCACCGTTGGGTCAGAGCCGCTGCACGTGACGCGACCCCCGCCTCTTCCGAAGCTCGCGCCACAAGCCGGGACCATTCGGCTGCTGCAGCAGACACGCGCCCCGCTCCCCCCACCGGCGCGTATTACTTACGTCATCCAAAGGCGACAATACTGTCCCGGCTTCCTCCTCCGCTGGGGTGTGTGCGACGAGCGTGCGTGTCTCCGGGGCGCCGCCATGCCGAAAGTCAAGGCGGAGAAGCGGTGCCGGCCGCAGCGCCGCGAGGGCCAGGGCCCAGGTGAGTGCGCGGGCCCGGCGGGGAGAGGCCGGGCTGCGGCCGCAGGTCGCGTTCCCTAGGCCCGTTCGGGCGTGCGGGGAGCTGGCGCAGGGCTGGCGTGTGCCGCGGCTGTCCGGCCCGGGGCGTGGCGGTGCCGGCGACAGGCGCCGGCGGGGGCCGCTCGGGGAAAAGGGACCGCAGACTGGGGGGGTGGCGGCGGCGGCAAAGGAGCCGAGGCTCCGAGTGCCGCGGGCGGAGACGGTGTGGGGCCGTTACTCGCTCCGTGTGACGCTCTCAGCAGCCCCGCCGCCATCGGAGTCGCCGATAGGGAGGGCTGGAGAGCCGGTCTCTTGGAGGCGCTGCTGTATCCTTCCCGTCTCGGCTGCGGCCTGCGGAATGGAGCTGTGCGCGGGCAGGCAAAGCCCGGCGGGAGCCTTCAGCCGCCTGGCGGCTGCAGTCTACTCTCCTCGGTGGCCCTGTGTCCCTAGTGCAAGCTGATGAAGGCGCGGACTCTGCTATGGTTCTGCTTGTTTTAAGATCTCCTTCTGCAAGCCCTTTGGCTGATGTCCTCCACTCCTGGCTCGTACTTGTACACGGGCGAGCATACTGTTGTCACTCCGATTTTATTACTATGCAGCTGTGTAAAAAGACCAGGTCCCTATCCTAAAAGAGTTCCGTCTAAATGCAATAGTGAAAAAAATAGTTGTGGTTTTAGGATCCTGGAAGTAGTGTTGATGTGTAATTTATTGCTTTAACCTGAGTACAGTGTCACCAATAATTTTCTTATTGTTTTACATTTGTTGTTCCCAGTATCACTAATAATGGTATTTCCAGCTACAGTGGTTGATACTGTGGGCTCCCCTGCTTCTGAAATGTCATTAATCCCAAGTGCCAGCCTTTACAATCACAAGGGCATTGTATACACCAAGGGGATAAGTGTACTACACACAGATCAATGGAAGGAGAGAGGCAGTGTTGTTATCCTTAATGTCTTAGAATATGACACCTGGAATTGGCCACTGTCAGGAGACAGGGTCCTGGGCTTGGTGGATTGTGGGCTTGACCCAATATGGCTGTTCTTATGTTTACACTACAGAGGCACAATTGTGGCATTGTAGCACTGTAGTGTAGATGCTTCCTACACGGTGGGAAGGGGTTTTTCAGTCTGTGTGGGTAGTTCATCTCTTTGAGAGGCAGCAACTTTCTGTCATTCTACATGTGTCTACAGTGGGGTTAGGTCAACCTGTCACACAGAGCATGAGATATTTCAGAGCCCTGAGCCATGTAGCGCAGGTGTAGGTGTAGACCAGGTGTTAGACTGGTAAAGTGGTCTAGTTACAGTAAAAGAATGTGAATCACTGTTTTAGAAGTATAAAGTTTAGTTTGCTGTACCAAAGTAACTGTGATATTTTTAATGATAGTGATATAACTGGCTTGGTTATACCTTATTTTAGGTATCATGTTCAATACTGGAATTGGCCAGCACATCCTGAAAAATCCCCTCATTGTTAACAACATTATAGAGAAGGTTGGTAATAACTGGACCTCACCAATTAAAATAGCTGTCATAAGAGTTGCATTCAAACGTTCTCTGTCATAAAATCTTTTAAGGCAAATGCTTGTAAACAATTTACAGCACTACTTAAAATTGGATACTGTGTAAGTCTGAGGTGCTTAATCCCCTCCTGGCCTCTTGAAAGGTATGGGAAATGTTAATTCAAGATGTGCATTTGGTGAAAGATTTTCTAAGTGCTTTCTCTTTTCCTTCAGAATGGCCCTGAGTAAAATCCTGGCCCCATTGAAGTCAGTGGCAAAGCTCCCATTGTCTTAAATGGAGCCAAGGTTACACGCAGGGTTTTGTATGCACACAGAGATGTGATTACCTAATGACTACGTTTTCAAAAGGTTGCATGCAATTAAAAGTGAAACTGTTGGGCAACTTTGCTTTTGCCTTGAAAACAGGTTCTCCAAATTTGTTAACCATATACAGGATTAGCTCCGCTAATGTCTGCACATAGAATTCCTTAGTTAAGATTACTTTGCAATTTTTTTTTTTTTTTGTATTGGTTTCCTACAATCTCATTTGTTCTTAGGCTGCCTTACGGCCCACAGATGTTGTCCTTGAAGTAGGACCTGGAACTGGTAACCTGACAGTAAAAATGCTAGAGAAAGTTAAAAAGGTAAGAATGAGTTAGGAAAAATTCATCTTAATTTTTCACTGAACAAACTGCTACTTAGTAGATGAACAAATGAAAAGGTGTCCAACTGCTCTATTCAAATGTGAGGGGGGGGAATAATGTATCTATTCCTTTCTGGGTGTTCATATCCTTCTCTCTGTACAACTCCACTGACAGAGTAACAACGGTGCTTCTAAAGAGAAGTTAAGAATATTTGATAATTGGATACGCAGTGTAATTGTAATTGACTGCATTAACATTTGTGTGGATCTTTACCATTTTTACAAGGCATTCAACTACATTTAGGTAAAGAATTGTGCTTTACATGTGTAGTTGTCTTCAATGGCCTTGTTATCCTTCTGAAATTTTAATATAGTCTGATATTTTGGTGATAGAAAATGTGCATATCCTAATGTAAGATTTTTTTTAAATGTAACAAAAGCTATTCTTACTCTGAGATAATAGCAAGAAATCTATTCATAGTTCTGATTTAGTTAAAGTTGCAAATATAACTCCTTGTTTTCAGGTAATTGCTTGTGAACTTGACACACGACTTGTGGGTGAACTTCAGAAGAGAGTCCAGGGCACGTAAGTACTAACACTGGAAATAGCTCCACTGCATTTTAGGGGCCTGACCTCTTTAGAAATGTGTATTTCTAAGGTAATAACAGTGCGTTTTCCCACCCCTAGATGCCTAGCAAATAAACTAGAAATAAAGGTTGGAGATGTGTTGAAAACTGACTTACCATTCTTTGATACGTGTGTGGCTAACTTGCCTTATCAGGTAAGGGCAAAGCAAGTGCAGTGGAATAACAGTTTACATGAATTTTTGATGGTACTTGCTCAGAGAGGACATACTAACAGTGTTACTCTTTCCCTAGATTTCTTCACCTTTTGTTTTCAAGCTGTTGCTACATAGACCTTTTTTCAGGTATGTAGATGAGACTCTCTGGATTGCCTAATGCAAAACAAAGGCTAATTTTACAAAACATCTGATTTGGGATTATTGTTAAAGATATCAGCCCAGGAAACCACTAGTCAAGAACTCTCCCTAGCATAGTACTCCCAATGGCCGTTGCCAGTGCCGAAGTATTAAACACCTAGGAAGAATTTGAGACTTGGCATAACCAAGTGCAGCTCCCACTAGAGTAAATAGGAGTTTGCTCCTGCTTACTCTAGAAAGGACAACCCCAGGCATAAGCAGGGTGTCTTAAGAGTTGTGGAGAAGTAGAGCCGATTTGGACTGGGGGGTTGTGGGGTGTCTCCAGGAAAATCAAAGCAACTTCATGTTTAATATATGGTTGCGTAGCTTGTTTAAGGGCTCTTGCTGATAGTTTAACTTGTTGGCAGTTAGCAGTGATACCATGAACTCGAGTACTGCTGTTGTTGATGCCATTGACTGGATTTGAAGGACTAGTAGGGCTATCTATTTTTACTGGGTGTTTGTTTTTTTGTTTTTTCTAAAATTAGATAAGTTTTGAAATGCAAATAGCTCACTTTTATTCTAGTTTGGCAGTTCTGCAGATTCAGACTTCTTGCTACAGTACTAATCAGTGACATTAGATACCAGTATGCCTATTAGCAGTCAGGAAACTTGTCACGTACAATGCAAGATTGGTGATCAGCACTTCTTTAACTTAGTGAATTACCAAAAAGCAATTAATTTACTATTTTAACAATTTTACTCAGGAAAGTTCATTTCAAAAGAAACCTCTGGCTTTCAGAGGTCCAGAATGAGAGGTGTAAGCAGGTAGAATTATTTCACACAGGTCATACATGTAAGACTGAGACTAAATTCTCTTAATTTCCTTCTGACCACTGGGTACAAATAGCCAAGTTCAGACCGAGGGTAAGGAGGTGCTATAGTGGGTTTGCTGTAGCTGTGCCTAACTTACATCAGGGCTGAGGCTCTCTAATATGAGTGTATGACACATCTCTATGCTTGCCTTTAAAATAAAAAGCCAATAATCTACAAGTAATAGAGCTTCTAGGAATAAATTATTTGCAATATAGCACTCATGTTTTCATTTCTTTAATTCTCAGGTGTGCAATACTTATGTTTCAGAGAGAATTTGCTCTTCGTTTGGTTGCAAAACCAGGAAATAAACTATACTGCAGACTTTCAATTAACACTCAGTTATTAGCCCGTGTGGATCATCTAATGAAAGTAAGTGAAACTACATCTATAACCAATGTAGGAATGTATGTCAGAGTGAGGAGGCTTTCTCAAGTATGTGAATATTTGCTTCCTGCTGTTTGAGATAGTTACCTACTTTTTAATGGTTAACAGGTTGGAAGGAATAATTTCAAGCCTCCACCCAAAGTTGAATCCAGTGTTGTCAGAATAGAGCCAAAGAACCCTCCACCACCTATTAATTTTCAGGTGAGATTCAAATACTGCAGACCATATACAATAAAATAACTGAATAATAGTGCTGTTCAGTGTTTTGTTCTGTATGCTCTTTCAGGTGGTGTAAAAGCAACACGATACAACTCATGTAACTTACATAAACACTGTTAAAGGATTTTTTTTTAGACAGTTTAAATAGGCCTAACTCAATCATATCAAAAGACTAGACCAGTGGTTTTCTACCTTTTTTCATTTGTAGACTGCTAAAAAATTTCAAATGGAGGTGTGGACCCCCTTGAAAATCTTAAACATGATCTGCGGACCACAGGTTGAAAATCACTGCACTAGACATTCATTGACTCTCCATTGTACCTCTCCCCTTCTTAAGCAGACTCTCATCGAGTATCTTTCCAACATTATCTGGATGCCCCAACAGCAGTTCAAACTCAACTTTCCTCAAAACCCCTGTTCCTTTCCTAGAAGTGACACAGACCAGGATCGCTGTGGTTAGGTTTGTCTCAGACTGAAAGGTAAAAGCTCCTGGCTAGCAGGTGGTGCTAATACCTAGCTCTTTTGTAGTGCTTTTCATCTATAGACCTTAAAGTGCTTAAAAGACATTTATGGCTGTTGGCAGTATTTAATTGATCAAGAGCAAAGAAGAGTCCTTTAGGACTCTGAGACTATGCGCTCTTGCTGAAGATCAACACTCCAGGGCAATATTACTCTAGACATTTATGTAAAAAAGGGAAACACCTTAATATCATCACCACAGTTTTGCCCAGGTTCAGCCAGATGTTCCTCAGCCATGTGACTTATAGCTATCTAGAGATCTGGGTGATTGTCCAGTTAGCAGTTTGGTAACGTCTGCCTACCTTTGCCAGTGAAGTATTTAGCTTGTCAATTTGTACTCTGTGTTGTGCTATTACTAAGATTTACCTCTTTGTCATTGTGCTGTCATGAAATCAATAGTAGATAGTCTGGCCTGGTTATTAGCAGCTTCAGGCAAATGTTGTGGATTTTGTGTTTCAGGAATGGGATGGTCTAGTAAGGATAGCCTTTGTCAGGAAAAACAAGACACTTTCTGCAGCATTTAAGTAAGTTGCTTCTATTAGAGGGTTTTTTCAAAGTGTAAGAGTTTATTGAATTGCTTGTTTTGCCTACAAAAATACCCAGCAATCCTCCAGTCTATTTCTGTAGCAAGCCTTGCTTCAACAACCATATTAATCAGACCATTCAGGCATCCCCATAGTGCAGGGTTGGACAGTTTACACTGTGATCATGGAAATCTTATACAGGGAAACCTTTACATGCCAATTAGGCAGTTGCCTTAAGAGATCATCCAATATGTTCAGTACAGCTGTTGAATATTTATTTTAAAAACCTCTGAACAGCCACTCAAGTCACAACTTGTTTTTTTTAAAAAACAGATTTCACTGTAATTAGATGTCTTGATCAATGGTTGACTGTATTGACTCACTTTCAGATCAAGTGCGGTGCAGCAGCTGCTGGATCAGAATTATCGAATTCACTGTTCTATACATAACATTGTAAGTAGGATGTTTTTCAGTTTTAATGTGTTAAATGTAACATTCCAGGTGAGCTAACTATGAGATGTAAAATTCAACAGAGGCAAGATGGTACAAAAATCTTTCATCCAGAAGTTAAAACCAAAGAGTACCCTTAGAATAACAGAATATTTAAAATAAACAGAATTCTTAAGATCCTCTAATCTATAATAAAGGTTTACATGAAAATTTAGAAACAAAGGATATATTGAGATTCCATTGATGTCTCCACGGGTGTAATTTACTCTCCTCCCCCCCTGGCCCCACGTTAGGGCTGCTCAGAGCTTGGCATAGTATAAAACCATTGACACTGCATCTATTTGAAAATATTTCTAGTGACTCATCTGCAGTGAGTTTGAGGTTGTTTACAAAAATCTAGGAACCAGGCCTGCACTGATCCTTTTTTAAATTATTTAACTCTTTTAATAAGATCTGATCCTTAGAAGAGAATGGTTAGTCAGGCTAATTTCAGCTACAGCGATCTGTTATGTATAGAATTGTGCTTAACATGTAAAGTACCTTTTTTTTTTTTCCAAAATATACAATAGTTCCAAATTTTAATACTGACTAATGTGACATTCACTATGCTGTACAGTTCTTTAGTCTTCCTAACTTGCATGGTGCTGCATCAAAACTTCCAATTTGCTGTGGGGATACACATTATTCAAAAATAAATTTCTCTTTAGACTTTATGATCTTTTATTTGCGCATACAGAGCCAACCATTGATATAGAATAAACAGTTTAATTAGGTAGAACCTAAGTAGTCTAATCTAGAAAAATAACTACATTATCTGAAATACTTACCCACCGGGCCATGCCTCCTTGTACTATGAATATAGAGGTAGGCATGGTTCCTGCTTCTTTCTCAGGTGTATACATACCTCCCACCATTCAAAGTAGCTAATGTGGGTTGGGTACTGCCTCCAGGGACTGAGAGGACAGGTTGGGGGGATGGGGCAGATCCTGTCCCCTGCGTGGGGTGGGGAGGGGAATTGCAGGGTGAGTGCAAAGCCGGTTGTTCTGCAGTGGCAGCTCCAGTTCTGCAGGGCTGGCAGGCCTCAAGTTCCTGCTCTGGGTACTCTGACCTGGACCCTGGCACATAAGTTGCAACATGGCTCAGGTTTAGCCCAGCTGGGCCAAACCTGAACAAAGGGTGTTGCAACCCTGTGCACCAAGTTGCAATGCCACTCACTCAGATTTGCCACCCCCACCCCTGTCAGGGGCCAGGCCAAACCTGAGCAGTGTTGCAAATCTGGACAGCAGGGGCCAGGTCACAATGCCTGGAGCAGGGAGCCTAGTCCAGCCAGTCACATGGAGCAGGAGCTGCTTCAGCTGGGGGTTTGTGTATCAAAGCGGGACAGTACTGCAAAACCCAGGATTGATGGACAGTCTATGTACCTTGGTGAGAAAACAGCAACCTGAATTTTTTTTAAAGCATTTTTCATCTGGAATGGTCAGTCACCTTGATGCATAGCAAAGGTTGGGCATGGTGCTTAGATAACTGAAGACTTGTGGAATGCACAAACTTTTAAAAATCATTAATACTGAAGAAATAACTTATCTGTATTGCAACTTACATTGACAGGAAATACCAGAAGATTTCAAAATTGCGGAGAAAATACAGATGGTTCTAAAAAATACAGGTTTCTCTGAAAAACGGGCTCGCTCAATGGATATAGATGACTTCATTAGGTAAACTCATTCTCTCTGTGAATTCCCTTCATACTTCAAACACTGCTCTGTTCTAAAACTGCAGGGACATCTCTAGTATAAAACTAGCAGATCTGCATTGGGTTGGATTGGGGAAAAAGTAGTGATAGCCCAAACACCATCCACTTTAGAAATGAGATGTCGAACTATTGACATGTTACGGATCCAGTGAGGAAATTACTGTAAATATAGGGAAAACTACCTCTTACTACAGTCTTTCTAACTCTAGTAGTCTAGGATGATTTTAGGTCCAACAATTAATATATATGAAAACAATAGGGATTCTGAACAGAAGACTGAGTCTGTTGGAAACTTCTAGACTAACAGGAAGTGAAATTTGTGCTGTAGTTAGTTGAAAACTTACTCTAGACCAGGGGTTCTCAACCTTTTTCTTGCTAAGGCCCCCGCCAAATGCTATAAATACGCCAGGGCCTTGGGAGGGGTGGACTCAGGGCTCCAGGCCAGAGGGGACCCTTGGGCATGGGCATAGTTTTACTTCTCTGTGATGGGGGGCAAGAGCTGGTGGGGCTCAAGCCAGCTCCACACAGCGGGGTCCAAAGAGGGAGCACCACCGCCACCCGCGGACTCACTCAGGAGACCACCCAGCCTGTCTGGGCTGTTGGGGGACACAACCAAAAAATATAATTCAAAGTGGGGACTCAGTTCAAAAAGTTTGAAAACCGCTCAGGGTGCAGGAAGGGAGTAGCTAAGGCTGGGGCAGGCAAACTTTTTGGCCTGAGGGCCTCATCAGGTTTCTGAAATTGTATGGAGGGATGGTTAGGGGGGGGCTGTGCCTCCCCAAGCAGCCAGGCATGGCCTGGCTCCCACGCAATGTCTGACCCCCCCCTGCTTCTTGCCCCCTGAGGGCCCTCCCGGACTCCTGCCCCATCCAACCCTCCCCCCCCCCCCCCAGTTGCCTGATGGCCCCCCCGGGGACCACTGCCCCATCCATCCCCCTACTATTCGTCCCTTGACTGCCCCCAGACCCTTTGCCCCTATCTGCCCCCCACCACCTTCTTCAACCCCCGCCCCCCTTCCTGACTGCCCCCCGGGGACCCCTGCCCCATCCATCCCAATCGCCCCCCGCCACCCCATCCAACCCCTCCTCTCCTTCCTGACTGCCCCCCGGGGACCCCTGCCCTCATTCGATCGCCCCCCGCCTCCCCATCCAACCCCTCCTCTCCTTCCTGACTGCCCCCAGGGGACCCCTGCCCCCATTCAACCGCCCCAACCCCTATCCACAAGCCTGCCCAACTCCCCTGCCCTCTATCCAACCTGCCCCCCCACTTATTGCGCTGCCTGGAGCGCCGGTCGCTGGCGGTGCGGCTGCACCAGGACAGGCAGCTATGCCACGCAGCACAGAGCACTGGGTCAGGCCGGGCTCTGCAGCCCTGCTGCCCAGAGCATTGCGCTGCATGGCTGGGGACAAGCCTCCTGGGCCAGGAGCTCAGGGGCTGGGCAGGATGGTCCCACAGGCTGTAGTTTGCCACCTCTGAGCTAAGGGCTGTGTGAAGCGAGGGGTGTAGCTCAGGGTACGGTGCGGGGGTAGCTAGGGGCTGCGTAAAGGCAGGGGGGGCTCCCAGCTTCGGGGGAGGCACCTGGGGTGCCCAGCTTCAGCCCCCTTGCTGCTCCTGGCTTGTGGGCGGGAGGGGAGGTTTGCCGGCTTCACCCCTGCGCTGCTCTCAGCTGGGGCGGAAGCGGTGCTGCCAGCTTCAGCGCTGGGGACACCGGGTTTCCGTTGTGGGCCTCTGCAGCTTCTCTGAAAGGGCTCACGGACTCCCAGACCCCTGGTTGAGAACCGCTGCCCTAGACTCCAATGATCTGAATCTTTTGTGAGGGGCATTATTTATATATCTTTAAACACATCTTTACTACACATGATGATGCCACACACAGGCTGAGGGCAACAAAGCAACACACATTTGAATCAAATTTCTGTTGAAAAGGAGCTTGACAGTTGGATTACATAAGGCTGGGAGAAGTACTTTATCACCAAAGATGAAGATCCTGATCCCTTAATATGAAGAAACAGATTATATGGATTAAACTGCTGTTTACAGCATTCTGGAGTACCTAAATCTCCTTCCATAAATTGCATTATAGGACGATGACAAGTTAGCTTTAATTTTCATCTTCCCTGAAGTCTTCTACATCTCTCCCTTAGAGTTTCTAGCAGCATTAGACACACTACAGGATTCTGAAACTGCAGCTGTTATATTAATGACCATGTGTTCTCTTGTTGCTGGTCATCAAATTAGGCAGTAGAAATCCCATCTCTTAATGTGTAGCTTCAGAATATTTTAGACACATTGTTTACTCAAATGTAACACAATATGTTAAAGAAGTGGCCTAGAAGGCTTACGTACAAGGAAATACTTGTTTTCCTTTCTATACTGTTGCCTATTCATTGTTCAGGAAATGTGGCCAGCTAATCAGGCATTGAGCTCTTGACTCTGGTGGAGAGGAGCTACACCCAAAAGGGTAGGTTCCTAGGGGCAATTAGTCTGCTATAACTAATCACAACTTCTTGGCAGAAGTGACTCAACAGGTCTTGCTGCTGTGACCATCTAAATCAACTGCTGTTCTTTGGCTAGTAAAGGTTAAACTGAGTGGCAGACAAGGTTGCCCTAGCATTACATCTGTCCTGAACTTTCAAAGTTGAGAGCTCACTACTCGTCCTTACTGCAAACCTATTAGCAGCTCTTTGCTGTAATGACCGGAACAGAAAGCCCTATTTTAAGACTTCTTCTCCACTCCCTTCATCGAGGTAGTTTTTGAAGTAAGTGTTACTGTGTGAAGTACAAATTCGTGTAAGCTGACCACTTTAATTTTTCAGAGTGCTGCATGGCTTCAATTCAGAAGGCATCCATTTTTCATAAATGGCTGACTAGGGAGCATTTTACATTTTCTGGGAAGAACGGAAATGAGACATGGACCAAGGTGTTCATAGAAGAAGAACTCTCATGTTGAGAGCAATCACCAGCATACAAAGTACATCTGACTGTTTTGCAATAACTGCTCAGAAGTACTTGTTTGAAGACGCTAGCTGTAAAGGTGCTGTGTTGCATTTTAAAATTGTAACTGTCAAGACTGAAGCTCTGTACCTTTTTTTCCCGCATCAGAGCATTTTTTTAAATGTACCCTATGATATGGAGTGACCCCAAATTAAACCTTTCCCTCCCTGACTTTGCACCTTCTTCTGCCATTACAACATTCAGACCTCTGTTTGTTCGGCCATCACAGAACTATTTATAGATGCCCATTCCTGGAAGTTTAGAATAAATTAACTTTTTAAAAAGATGAAGTGTGCATTTCTTTAACGTTTCCTTTCTGCTAGCTACCACCGGCCCTGGCCTATTAGAGAAATTTCTGCTACAATGAGCAGATCACCACGGTATATGTTCTTGATGTTGGGGCAGTTAAACTCTTGCTATCAGGTTGCACAGCCAAGGTGCTCAAGAGAATGGTAGGCTTTAAAAAGACAGAACAGTTCTTTTGCCTAGTACAGACCTCTTAAACATCCAAACTTGTTTTCAGCTGCAGTTACACCTGTTAACTGCTAGACCCTGAATTGCATTCAGAGGCAGCTAAGAATATACTACCATTTTCACATAAAAATCTTCAGTAACAATGCAGTTTGACTGAAACATTGTATGGTGCCTTTAAGCTTTCTTAAACTGCCTTAACCATACTGTACACTTAGGTATTCCATCTGTTATAGACCTTAAAGTGCTTTACAGGGCTGGGTAAGCAGTATTATCCCATTTCACAGACTTTAACTGAGGAGCACAGGTTAAATGTCAGTGGCAGAGCTAGGCACAGAGATCACCACTGTCCCTACCTCTCTTATACAAATAACCCTAAGATGTACATTAACTGCAGTGGCTTTTCACTAAACTGCATACATTAAATACTATAGCCTATGTACATCTAGTCTCAATGGAGATCCATATACTTTAATATTAATCTCAAACTGTAGGCAGCTGTACAGTACTGAAGAGTGCTATATATCAGAGATTATTACCAGATTACTGCTCTGGGCAAGCAGGAGAGGCTGTTTCTTGCATGATTTTTCCCCCTTAAATCTCCTTTTAATTCTTAACATTGAATATAGGCAGTAGGCTTCTGTTACAATGCTAGCTGCATTATTCTATTTTTGTTAATGAAACTTACTTTTTTGGAACATTTTGTATTTTAATACTCTTGGTATTGTAGGAGCTGGGCACATTTCCTAGTTCTAAAACTGAGTCTTTGCTCATAGTTTGAATTATGGGTTAAGAGCTACAGGGTCACACCATTAACAGTTAAAGACAAAGTAAATGCACTTGTGCAAATTGCCCAGGCTTAGGAGTGGTAGGTAAAGGTAGATCAGCCTAGGAACACTGATTCTATAACACTCTCTTCCTTCTGCCAATGAGGAGTTGGTTGATAGCCTTATGTGCAAAATCTGTAAATGCAACAGCTGGAGCTCTGCAGGCCTGGAACAGCATCTTACAAGGAACAAGCATGTCACTATCATAAGGTTCAAAAAGCAAGCATTGATTGCTTCAGAGTCTAGACAAGAGAGCTTCTATTCACCTTAGGCTAGCATGACAGCCCTCTTCTCCCAGCATGCAAAAAATAAGTTACCCCTTAAGAAGCAATCTCTACAAAACTAGCAAAGCCTAGCTTGACAGACCAATCTGTAGCCCAGGGGTGGGCAAATTTTTGGGCCCGAGGGCCACATCAGGGTTGCAAAACTGCATGGAGGGCCAGGCAGGGAAGGCTGTGCCTCCCCAAACAGCCTGGATCCAGCCCCCTATCTGACCTATCCAACCCCCCCGTTCCTTGTCCCGACTGCCCCAACCCCTATCCACACCCCACCCCGACAGGCCCCCTGGGACTTCCATGCCTATCCAACCCTCCCTGACTGACCCCCAGCCCCTTATCTAACCTCCCACCCCCTTACCATGCTACTCAGAGCAGCAGGAGCTTGCAGCCTGGCCAGAGCCAGCTACACTGCCCTGAGAGGAGCAGCAGGCCAGATCACTGGTGGTGCAGCACACTGAGGCTGTGGGGGAGGGGCCAGGGGCTCAAGGGCCAGGCAAGACAGTCCTGCAGGCCGTAGTTTGCCCACTTCTGTTGTAACCAGTAGCTGACTGGAGTAGCAGCACTGGTCCCATTTTAGGGCGGGGGTGTTAGTAAAATTAAGGTTTTATCACACACACTTTGATAGGATTTAGACTCTATTCTCTAACTTCCCTCAATGCAAGCTGAGACAGCCAACCTTAATTGGTGTGGTTTCCTACCCTTTTAAACCCTCAAATCAGCAAGAGTCCTGATTTCCTACTATAAACATCCACTTGCCCCAAGTGTAAGAGTTCCTCACCCGTTGGTGAATGTGTTTGCCACAAAGATATCACTGGCTGTCCATTATAGGAGAATGTTCCTAAGAAGCTACTCTCCCTATTTTCTTTTAAAGGGGAAATACATTAAGTGATCATACTTCTTTCCTTTTCATTATTAACCCACATGAGTCCTTTTGTGATGCAAGGCTAGTGTAGGAGACAAGAACTAGTCTGTGAACAATACTGAAAACATTTAAAAAGAATCTCCCATCAGCAGTGATGAAAGTATAAATAAAAGTAAAATATATTTGACAGGGGAGTTATTTTAAAAATTGGACATGGATAGAAGCAGGCATATTATATAAATACAGCAGATTCATATTTAAACTAGCTGCACAGTTTCTCATGAAACTTACAGCTATCTGAATAGCATCTACCATTCCTAATTTGCAGTTTGATGCAATAATCCAAAATTAATCACATTTAGATTACACTTTTCAGAGGATCTTAAAGCACTTTATGTATCACAAGACTGTTTACAGGTAGACAAAAGAAAGGTTAAAACAACGAGGAGTCCTTGTGGCACCTTAGAGACTAACATTTATTTGGGCATAAGCTTTCGTGGGCTAGAACCAACTTCATCAGATGCATGGAGTGGAAAATACAGTAGCAGGTGTATATATATATATATATATATATACACACACACACACATACACACAAAGATGGGAGTAGCCTTATCAAGTTGGGGGTCAGTCTAACGAGACAATTCAATTAACAGTAGAATACCAAGGGAGGAAAAATGACTTTTGTCATGGTAATGAGTCATTACAGAAACTAATTTCCCCATACTGTTACTCACACCTTCTTGTCAACTGTTTGAAATGGGCCACAAGGACTCCTCGTTGTTTTTGCTGATACAGACTAACACGGCTACTACTGTGAAAAAAGAAAGGCTGTGACTTGCTAAAGGAACGCCACCCATGTTATCTTGACTTCTTGTATATAAATCCTCTACATAATATGGCTCAAGCCTCGAGGAAAAGTGAGATTTAGACTTATCAATTCAGATCATTTTAATGAAAGCTTCTGATTTAACAGGGAATGCTTTTAACTTGCATCATCAGTTACTATGAACAGAAACACTTTAGCTAGTTTTACTTAGTTATCTAATAAAATTTCCTCTTAATTTTTGATGGATTGCATTCTTAGATGAATGCAGTGAAAGATCAGTACCTTTTGATATAGCTGTTTCAAGGACTGAAGTCAGTGAAACCCAATACCAGCCTGTACAGGATGGTTATTACAATAAAAACATCCATTCTAGCACCATGTGCGTTTTAAGTATGATTTTTAAAAAAAATCATATACATCTAATTTCAGTAGATGTGATCACAAAGTAAATTCCTTCCCAAAGCAAATGTGAGTTACATAGAAGTAAATTCTCATCTCTAATTGATGTTTCATTGTTTAATTTATTAAACACATTGTGTAAAATCTACATTGCTTTTTCAGCTTTCATGTTTACAGATAGGAGCTTTTTACCATGATGCAACAAGGGTCTCCCGTAGCCTACCTTCCTATGGGAGTTACAAACATTAAATACTGAGAATCTCTGGCTCATTTAGCTCTCTTTTCATTGCCTTCCCTTTACTTCCTTTCAGTCCCAGCATAAACGGGATTGTGTTCCAAAAACCAAGTTTAAAACCATTCCTAGGGTCTGCTGATATTAACTCCTGGAATCTGTCCTGGAAACAGGGAGAACTCAGAGAGGGCTACAGTTGTTTGACGAAGTTCTTACATAAAAGGTTGGGTTATTTTCTTTTGGACAGTGACTTGCAAAAATAACTCAAGTGCCACCACCTAAAAAGTGCTGGATACGTATGGTGCTATTTGTGAGACTTCAAGTACCTGTGGGATTTGTATAGCGTTATGTAGAGTTTGTGCAGCCTATTATGCAAATCCCAAACGATAAAGCTTCACCCCACTTTTCAGCTGCTGGCACTGTACAAAGGGGAAAATATGCATTAGCTACTTTCTTTAAAGCAACAGTAGTACTCCATACAAACTATCTGCAAACTACAGTTAATGCACGTGTAAGTTGTCATGCATCAGAAGCCAAATTTTTAATAGTATGTGAAAAGTTATTTTGTTTATGCTATTCACTGGATCCCTGAACTTTTATAGTCCTCCTACCCATACGTAGAGATCAGATTGCACCTTTATTCTAGACAGCATTTATCACACTTATACACATACTGTATATCTGTATTATTCTAACATACAACTCTCCTCCATGTTACCTTTTATTATACATCAACTAATTTATATTGTTCTTTACAAAGAAAATGTTAGCATTATATAACCATTTTTTATGGTAGTCAAATAAATCATGATTCCAGATTTCTACGAGGATGGAATGTCCAGCTGTTTGGCCACTCTAACAGCTCTTTTAGTTCCTGTTCAATGATATGGTACATCCTGTGAAATGAACTAGTCACCAAAAAAAAAAAAAAAAACACTCACACTTTAAAGATGTACACACAATAAAAGTAACTTACATTGACAAATAAGGAATGTCATTTATTAAGGCTGTGCTTCAGAAAGGACATTTAGGGTCAAGTCGCCTTCATCAAGGCACAGAATGGGAAGAGGTTAGCACAGCTGTCTCTAGAAGAGAAGTTATGTACAATCACTGATGAGGTGTGCATGCATGCAAACACAATTTAAAACTGCACAGCTGGTCTTTGAAACAAAATTGAACATAGTTAAAAGGAAATAGTGAAGTGTTTAAAGTCCACAGTTTTACTTCATTATTAAAAAAAATGGCAAAGATTTCCAAAACATAAAATTCACAATTTGAATAAATGAAACATTTTAAACAAAGTGCTTCACAGCTCTGAACCCTACATGGTTGTGCTGTGCTGTCTGGTCTAGAAGCATTCTGGAGACATCATTGAAGTGTTTCACACA